GTTCTCATGTTTCAAAAACGAGAACCGAAAACCTCAATATAATAATTAAAATAGGGCTTGATACTTTAACTCAATTTAATTTTAATAATTACATTGAGGTTTTCGGCTCTTCTTTTTGAAACATGAGAACTCTTATGTAGCGAAGGAATCATATTTTTTAAAAAAATAATTATAATTTAAGATCTACTTCTGTGTGGAGCACTGTTTATAAATAAAAACAAAAATACTAAAAAAAAAAAACTCCGGATTATTTACCTAACATGTTCTTTCCTAAATACCGCCCGATAGTTCGTCTTTTAAACTAGTGTATATATATATATATATATCTCAAAATGGGAGAAAGAAAAGATGGTGTAAAAATCCACTATTCGTAGCATTTACTTTTTAAAAATAAATAAAAAAATATATATATATATATATATATATATATATATATATATATATATTATACAGAACATTCACATATCCACTACAATTTTTTGAAACATAAATGTACAATTTTGTAGTGGATATGTGCATGTTCTAATGTAACACTGCATAAGATAAATATTTACGGCTCTACTTTTGTGTATTGAGCACTGTTTGTCAATTAATGTTTTTGAAAGCTGTAATCCTACTGTTTGTTCTCCTATACTTTGATATATATATATATATATATATATATGATGTATATGTATGTATGTATATATATATATATATATATATATATATATATATAGAGAGAGAGAGAGAGAGAGGGAGAGAGAGATGTGTGTGTATTGAGGGAGCGCCAAGTAAATGATAAGTCAAATTTATGGAAAGACATCTTAAACAATTTTAGCATTCTCATTTCTCTTTCAACATATCGAGGGCATTAACATAGCAACTTCCAATCTGACGCAGGAAATGAAAATGTATTCTGTGTTTGTGACACTAGTCGCTAACCACAGCACTTCGGTGATAACCGGCATCTTGAAAGATGAACAAGAGGAACGACAGGTGTCTGTGTGGACTCAACGTACCCACGGTGATTCCTTACCAAATTGGAAAGTGCGATGGTAAAACTATCGACAGGAACGAGGGCTTAATTATTTTCGTAGTGCCTCAGGTTCAATGTCAAAGGTCGTGTGGATAGCCGTATATGTTCCAGCAGGACTCTGCTCTTTCTGCATAGTCCATATGACCGAGAAGTTTCATGCTTATAAATTTATCCGTCATGTTACCCCCACGTGGCTTCAGCTTCGTATATAGATATATATATATCGCCACTGGCTATATCTACAGTCGTTTCTCGCAGACAGACAGAAAGAAAGAAAGAAAGAAAGAAAGAAAGAAAAAGAAAGAAAGAAAGAAAGAAAGAAGGTTTAAATAGTCTTGTCCCGTCGTAAAAAATAGTGAAAATGTTTTGGGAGGAATAGTTTTTGTAAAGTAACATTCAATGTACCTTCCCTAAACCACATATGTCAGAATCGAAAAATATTGATTTTTATCGATTTAGAAGGTTGTCCTGTTCATAATATAAGTAATGTAACAAATCGATCCCTGAATTCTTACAAAGTTAACTGAATTTAGTTTGTTATTAACAAATGTCAAGATAAATCTGTACTCATCTCAGTTTATATCGGAATATTTTTGTAATTTTCTAAATTGTTTAAACTTTTTTAAAACATTTTTTTCGAATCCACGTACTAAAACTTTGGGGATAATAATTATTCATTTTAAATGAAGAAAACACGGATGTCTACTTTTATCAATTTATGTAACTTTTAGATCTTTAATTAAAATGTATATATCTGTTTGTTGTTTAATTCACAGAAATATCTTATTAAGAAAATGTCTGTTTACGTACGCAAAAATTCCTAAGTCCAGATATAACGTTGCAAAAAAGCAGAGATTGATTTTACCTTGCATCAATATTATAAACATTCTAAAATGATAAAATTCAATTTTTTTTTTTTTTTTGGCAAATGTCATATTTTGAAAAAGACCTAATGAATGTTACCCTGCAGAAATAATTCCCTTTTTTTTCATTTTTGTTTTTCTTTTTTGGAGTGGCTCATTCTACATAAATAGCGCCGACAGGTGTATCATCATCATTGTCGTCGTCGTCGACGTCGTCGTCATCATCATTATCAGTCACTTGACTGCTTCAATCGTCAGGGGTACTTAAGATTGGTTCCGGCATTGTCATTTCCATCCACATGGTGTTGCCTGACCAGCTCATCGTCGGTCAACAGTCCCTTGACTGCTTCAATCGTCGGGGAACCTAAGGGACAACCTTCTTCAGGATGTTCAGAAACAGACAACCTTCTTCAGGATGTTCTGTTAGCGGTGACTCTTGCTATGTTCGTCCAATCTTTGATGTTTTCTGACCAGCTTGAAGGTTCTTCAGGATGTTCTCTTAGCGGTGACTCTCAAGAGTTCCGACATTGTTATGTCCGTCTACTCTTTGATGTTTTCTGACCAGCTTTTGCGTTGCCGTCCACGCTTGCGTCCGCTTTCAACACTGTCTTGCATGATGGTTTTGCAGAAGCTCTATTGCCGTGTGACAGTGTAAAACCACGACGCTTGCTTCCGATGCTTAATAGTGAAGAGAACAGCTTCCTGATGGTCCACGAGACTATTGACCTTGCTCCGTACATAGTCATTGGGATTTTTCTTCCCTCTAGGAGATGCGGAGAAGTATTCTCAAGCATTTATTCTTGAACGCTTGGATCTTGGATCTTTGTTTCTTGTCTCACCCAGGTGTGTCTAAGCCTCACACACGTAGAATAGAGTGGATCGACCAGCAATTTGTAGATGGGTTATATTTTGTATCAGTATAGTAGATAGTTCTTTAGAAATACCTACGTTAAAACTAAAGAATTTTTTTTTTAAATAATAAACATACTATAACCTCCTAACAAGAATTTACCTCCCGTTACATTAAAATTTTTCCAACATAGAAAAATTTAAAAATCATCGTTTGTGACTTTGCGCATGATCGGAATTGTTAACGGTTTTAAACGCAATTATTTGTCTTAGCCATCATAACCCTGATGATGACATTGGAATATATCGAAAGTACTCAGAAAAATAAAAATGAATACATACAACCATGATACCTTATTTTATCATGACAACAACAAAGTTTATACGTGATTACGAAAGGATGTTATGGAAAATAAACAAACACAATATGTCTAAATTGTTTAATCAGGCATGTTTAAATGAAAATATGCTGCTAAAATATACGGAATTTAAATATATATGTGTGCGTGTGCGTATGTGTGCGTGTGTGTGTGCGCGCGCGTGTGTGTGTGTGTGTATACATATATATATTTCATTGAATACGACAGACAGACAGCTATTTCTTATTTAACAGTTAAAATATTTAATGCTTGAAAATGGCTAAATGTATAGCCGAAAGCGCTCGGATAAAAAGAACATTCGGACAGTTTTTATATAATTTATAATCCGAAAAGAAAAAAATTATTAGATCGCATGAGAAATTGTATAAAAACTAAATAAAAGCACCTTGTCGGTCGTATTCAATGAAATGTACATGAAAGTAGGATTGCTGCCTAAATACACACACACACACACACACACACATATATATATATATATATATATATATATATATATATATATATATATATATATATATATTCTTCGAATCGAATGTAATCAATGACTCATTTGCATTATAATGTCGGTTTTATCTTATCTGCATATTTTCTGTTAATTGTTGGCTTCTACAAGATATAACCTGTTTTACGGTATTGAGTAAATGTAATTTATTCATAATATATATTATAAATTTAAACATATATATTTTTTTAATTTTCCACTAAAGAACTTGATGCGATCACCTTCCCTTAAGGACAAAGCATGCGAGTGTTACCTAATGTACCTCCTGAACACAGCGACCACAGTTTTTGTGTTTAATGTTGAAGTTATCAGATGAGGAATTCATTCACGCAGTTCCTTATAAATGTCATATGAGAATATAAACTTTAATATAGACCACAATGAGATTTAGTGGAGCATAACTATTTTGAAAATAATGTGGCTTAATTTGTAATGAATAGACTAATATGAATTTAGTAAGTTAATGAAATCAACACATACCATGTCCCCCATCATGTTGCCTTGTGCCAGGCTAATTGAAAAATAGTAATATACATTCCCAGATAATTGAAATTGATGAGCAGAAATCCTACAGTTTTGTTTAGCGTTACATATTCTCTGGACGTTAAACTTTCATCATCTTTTCACAATAGGTTTTTACCATTGTCTATAGCCAAACGGGAGATATGTGGGCATTGTTGTTCAAATCCCAGTCCAGCCTCCTACGTTCGCTTCGGTAGAAATGCGTTTTGAAACCTGTTGGAAAAGGTATGAATATGTCTTTTCTCCTCCCAGCACATGGTTAAATATTAGATAGATGGGGCTACTTCGCCTTTGATGGCAATCAGTCTAAGAAAAGAAAAATCCTAAATTTCAAACTAAGGAGATGAGAACCTACTCCACTATCTTTCCCAAGAATATATAGTAATTTATGGATAATAAAGAAAAAGGAATCCGTGAGTAACTATGACTGTCTACGTCTTGAAAGGTTACTTAATTATTGAAAAATGAGTATCAACTCCAGATTTTAATAATAAATTACTTCCTTTCAAATCATGGAATTAGTAAACGCTAGAACTATGACTTTATCTTCAAGAATTCCAGGTTCATTTATTTCGTACTAAATACCCTTTCTCCGAAAAATGCATGTCATCGTTAAGTAAATCATTCGTGAAATTTGTACTATTTTGTTTTAATCTTATTCTTATTAGTAAAAACATTTGCTATGGATTTAACTCCCAGATTGAATCTATCAGCACTTCATCGGGTTACCTTTTATAATCTGCCTGCTTTTTTCGTTGTCCGTTATCGCTTGCGATCTTTATAATTGCCACGACTGAACAGATGCTATCCTAAACTAACCAATTCTTCTTTCCCTTGGCCCGCCTGAAGCATTTCGGCAAACAGGCATGCTTCTGCTTCTCATAATACCATTATTCTTCTATTTTCTTCTGTCTGTGTGAGAGTGTTTTTGGCTCTTGCCTACAGTGAAATTCAATTGCTTAATGCTGTAAATGCTGGGGCTTCTTCCCTGATCTACTAATAATGTTGGCTGTTTATCATGCGATCAATCGTGAGTTGTTATTTTTTTTAATCTTCGATTTTTTAACACCGGTTCCAATATTAAACATTTTATATCTTTTCTTTAGCGCAGTCTCGACCCGGCAAATGCTACTCGCATTTTAAAAGGCCCTTTATCTAGGCAGCCTTTGAAGTAAGATGTTCCGTGATAAATTCTAAACTAAATTGAAGTTTTGTTATTGTATATTTGTTTTGATATTTTTTGTTGCAAGATTTATCAAAATTATTTTAGAACACACGTTTTAACTTTTATCTGTCTGAAAACGTTCTTGTGATTGTAACCAAGTGAGAAGCCTAATGTTAAAGATGCATACAGACAGGGCAAGCAAATTCATCTGTTTTAACACATTCACTGCAGCCTTGTTGCCTGGCTGTGCTGGCCATTACTGGAAATAAATAACTACAAAGACGCTGATGGTAATTTTCAGTTTCATTCATGTTGTTTTCAATTGGATATTGTGCAATACAGACAAAACTAAACGATACTGAAAACCTAATTAATTTATAACACAAATACTAGGGACTAATTTTTCCCAGTGTCTTGATAACATAAATTTACTTCAACAGGCAATATAAATTTCATAAGGATATATAAATGCGTCCACGGAAATACACGAGCAATGACTTGTAAACCATCTCTTTGTATCAGACTCTAAGAGATCTACTTTGCTTAGTCAGGCATAAGGTTACAATATTCGATCATGGAATATACATACGATACTTACAAGAAAAGTTTAAACACGGAGGATATTAATTTAATCAACAGTTTTCTGTGGTATTGGATATTTTATAAGTATAATATTGCATATTGAGGACTAAAGGCTATGAGTTCTTAAGTGTCTCACCCAGTGTCGAGTTAATGAGGTTTGTTAACATCTGGAACTGAAAAGCCAATTTCAAACTAGTGTAATTATTTTTCTTAATCTAACGAACAATATTGCGATCGTAAAATTTTATTAAGTCGAAAAGAGCAGGATAATTGACATTTTTTCAAAGATCTTTAGTTAAACTTATATTCTGAAATAATCATCAAAACAGAGATTAAAACTTTTACCCTGCATTGTTATAGAATTGTTTCCTGGCTATGCTGGCCCATTTCGGGAAAATAGGAAAATTAAGCTAAACACCAACACACAATAAAAAAAAAGTCAAATTGTACGCTACTATGCTGGTTTGGAAATAGCACTAAGCGCTAATTAGCTTATAACGCAAACACTTTGGACTGACATTTCATGATGTCAAGAAAACGTACACAAGAGGCAACGTGACCTTTATAAAGACGTATATGTACGTCGAGAGCAGCGGGGGTGTTGAAGCATTACTTGGATACGTGTCAATCGTCCATTACGGCTTCTATTCAAAATCAAGAGAAGTGACATAAACTAAGAAATTTGATTCCATCTGTTTATTTAGAAAAAAAAAGGCAAATGAGAGTTGGATTATTTTGTTTTGTTTTTTTTTTTTGTTTGTTTTGCTCTATTTCATTTTCGTTTTTATTCATTTTTTAATGTTATGTTAGTTTCTAATTCATATATTACCTAACGAGAGAGGATAAACAGATGGCAGGGCAAGGTCTACAAGAGATAACAAAAAGAGAAAATTTATTAAGAGCTACAAAGGACAGGAAATTGGGGAGAGTCATGATCACCAACGTCATGAAAGAATACGCACGTAGAATAAGACGGAAGAAGAAGAAAACGTTCGTTTCTATAAAGAAACAAATGGAGTCTTCTTTTCAAGGTTGGAATATGCCATTCGGACACATTCTTTTTTTATGTGCCATTAAGGAGATGGGCGATCATGATTCTCCACAACTTCTAATCCTTCGTAACTTTAAGTTATATATGTCTCCTTACTATCCCTCACACACGCTGTTCTGCCATCCATTTATATAAGACATTATACTCTCTGTTTCAATCTGCCCTCTTTACCATCACTATGTCCTACGAGTGTCAAATTCTCCAAGCCCTTTTTCCTCAATATGTTTCCAAGAAATTCCAGATTTCTCTTTTTTACAGGCTTTTCACATGTTATTCTTAGCATCGTTCTATAGAAGCATATTCCTGTTATCTCAGATCTCATCTTCAGATTTGAGGAAATTGTCTAACATTCACTGAAGTATAGAGAAGAGTCCAATATTCTTTCCTTTGATTCTAACGATATTTTACTGTTTCTTAATAATTAGTTTCGCTTTTGGAAAGCATCTTTTGCTATTCCTATCTGCTTTGGGATTTCTGGGATTTTCAGTCGCATGTTTAACATTTCCCATATAGTCAAAATTCTACACTTACTTGATTCTGAGGTTTCCATTTCGTAGCTCGTATCTTAGGCTGTTCCTTTTGCTAACAACCATACATGTTGTCTTCTTACAATTAATAGATAGTCCTTTCTTACCGCTTTCCTTTACTGCCTTGTCTAGGTTTTCTTGCATTTTTCTGCGTCTATCATCAACACGATGTCATCTGGGAATCTTGTGTTGTTAAGATTGTACCCATTAATAATAAATTCTGGTGGAACATCTACTACTTGTATGATAGCCTCAATGCAAAGGTTAAATAATTCCGTCAAGAAGACGCGTCCTTGTCTCGCGCCACTTTCTATTTCTTATCTATTTGCTCAGTTAATATGTTTTATTCTTAGTTAAAGATCTCATTTTTTACCTAGCATTCTATAAAAAGGAATTACCCCGAAATTTTAAAGCTAGATCAAATCAGTTTTCATTTCGTCTTTAAACTAACAGATGAAACTGCCCCAGAGTTATTTGAACGTAAGATGTTCGATAAGTTTCTATCCCAAATCGCAATCAGAAATCTATTAAGAAAATCGAATTAATTATATAATTGATTAGTTAATTCAAATATTGAAAACGTGTCAAATGCTTTTAAGTAATTATAATCTGTATGTTGTGTTCCGGGTGAATGGCTTCAAAACAACGACTAAGTTAGTGCGTAGTTTGAGGTTCACTGTCAAGCAGAGACAGAATCCATTCAGAAGTTCTGAATTAGGTCAAGTGAGGTTCTTAGAGATAAGAACTATTCAATTATAAGTAATAGCCACCCATAGGTCTACAGAAATGTTTAATACAAGTAGATACAATACTATGAAATGACATTTTTCTTTTCTCTCTTTTCTCACTCTCTCAATACTTTTCATTTCCTCCACCCTTTCCTATTCTCTCTTCATTAATCTTTGCTTTCGCTAAAGTCCTATGCCTTTTATATATTTTCTTTCTTCTTTTTCCTGCTTTTTGCTGCTGTTTTTTTCTCTTTCTATCTCTCTTATTGTTTCACCTTTTTTTTCATTTTTATGCATTCTGACTTTAATATTTATTTCTGTTAAACTTTGTTTTTCAGTCATCATTTTCTGTTCATTCCTCATTTCTATTCGTCTTCAGTTCTTATCTCTTTACTCTTTCTTTGTTGCTTATCGGTATCTATCTATCTATCTATCTATCTATACATCTATCTATCTATCTATCTTATTTTTTAACAATGAGGTTTTCTTTCTTTTTTTTTTTTTGCATTTATCTTTTTCTGCCTCTTTTCTGTTTGTCGTTAATTAACTTTATCTACTTTTGGGATTTTCTGGCCCTTTTTCCAACCTCTTTTTTAGTTTTAGCGCTAACACACACACACACACACACACACACACACTATATATATATATATATATATATATATATATATATATATATATATATATATATATAAAGAGATATAGAGAGAGAGAGAGATAGATCCTTCACTCTAGCTATATCTCTTTTTTCTAGGATCTTCACTTTTTTTTTCTATTCCTTTATGTCTGTCTGTTTATTTCGTTTTTTTCTATTTCTCTCTTTCTCTCTGGCACTGTGTTTTTCTTTTCATATTAAGTCTCTCCTCCCCCCCTCTCTCTCTCTATCTCTCTCTCTCTCTGTCACTTTGTTTTTTTTTTCATATTAAGTCTCTCCTCCTCTCTCTCTCTCTCTCTCTATCTATATATATATATATATATATATATATATATATAGAGAGAGAGAGAGAGAGAGAGAGAGATCTTTCACTTGATCACTCTCAATCTCTAGGGTCTTTCTTTCTATTCCTTTATTCTATATCTTTCGCTTTCCCCTTTCTTTCTATTCCACTCTTTCTTTGTGTTACTGTGTTTCTTTCTTTTTCATACTAAGTCTCTATATATATATATATATATATATATATATATATATATATATATATATATAGATAGAGAGAGAGAGAGAGAGAGAGAGATAAATCTTTCACTCGATCTCTCTTTTTCTAAGGTTTTCTCCTTTCTTTCTATTCCTTTATATCCCTGTTTTAATTGGTTTCTTTTTTGCATATTCTTTATGCATCACACATAAATGCACCTCTCTCTCTCTCCCTATCTCTCTCTCTCTCCTTCCTTTCTTTTCCCTCTTTATCTTTCTCATTATGATTCTTCTTGACTCCTTTTATATGTCTCCTTTTTGTCTCCTATTCTCTGATCCGTTCGTATTAGCAGCACCTCAATGATTCAATCAATTTAATCCAATCTCTCAGTCCATTTGTCACAATCAACAAGTTTCCTCGAAGCAAACCAAACAATTCGCTTGTTTAGCTGAAGCTGTAAAAGTAAAATCTGAAAACAAATTTGTTTATGGCTCAAAATTGTAAGCGACAGTTGCTTAGAGCAAAACAGCAAAAACAACAAACACAAATTCTAATTGCTTCTCCGGGAGAAACGATCGTTTCCTTTAGAAACCTTTTTATTTATTTAAAGGCCACATTTCAACATCACTTAAACTAGAACCGGTAACAAATCCAAATGACAAATATTCGTGATGTACTTGAAAATTTGATGAAAATTAGGAAAACGAATTTTTAATCGTCATACAGAGGCGACCGGAAATTGCATACATCTACATAAAGAGGGAGAACATCGGACACACATGATAGCAATACTAGTCCGGAAAATTCAGGGAATAATAAGTATTTAATCCAAGAATTTCTTGCAGGGGTTATTACTTTTCTAAATAGGGATCGCGCCATCGAAATGATACAATGATGGCCGTGAATTTGTAGATTTTCTCCTCCACAGCTTTAACTCTCCGCCAAAAGAAATTTAGGTTGATTTCTTTCTCGTAAGTGTATTTCTAAAATGTTTGGAATACATCCCCGTGATATTATAGCACACAACTCTTTTAAGTATTAAAATTAGACATCAAGTGCAATGAGGAGGTACTGTCCAAAAGACAGATCTCAGGTGTTTAGCTTAATTTCAGTTTAGGTTTCTCCCTAGAAAATGAAAGTTATCATCTGTGCAATTTACGTCAACTGAATACAGTGTTAAAAAGAATTCATTATTACTATAGCCAATTATTAGAAATAACAAAAGATGCGAAAACTTCCAATGCCATTTCTTATTTTCTTCTTACGCCGTAAAGAACTATTTGGACTGCTAGGTAAGCTTAATTTATTTATAATACATAGCCTTATACTGGGAGTAAGGCGTCTGCATACGGATAGAAAATGAATTCAGTAAATACGCAAAAATAGAAAGTTGTGTAAGACAAAGATGGAATTATTCAATCACTACAGTGTGGCGATTCTGGGATAAATAGACTCACAGAACTGATTATTGGCAGCCACAAGAACAATATAACATGACACAGTGTTGCTAACAGACACAGAAAGGAAACTATATTAACTACTACAGACGCTAATAAAGGAAAGCTAGAGAGAAACGACTAAACATCAGAATATATGGTTGCCAGCTCAAGATTCGAACTACGTATTAGAAACACTAAAATCAAGCAAATGTAAAAATTTAAGTATTTTAAAACAGAAAATACGAGACGCCGAAATCCGAAGGCACAAAAGATGACTTCCCAAAGCTAAGCAAAGATAACATAAAAATTTCGTTAGTAAATAATATAAGATTATTATTTAATATCGGTCCTCCTATATGGCAGTGAATGCTGCAAAATATCTTCACGACTAAAGAAGAGACTTAGAACAAAAGAATAGTGGTTCTGTTGTAGAATGCTGAGAATACTATAGACTGAACAATGACGAAGTTCTGGGTAAAGTATAAACAAAAATATACTATTACTTTTTTTTTAAGCATTACGCCCCGAGCGTGAAGCCACTAGGATGCAGGGGGTTGCAGAAGATTTGGAGCAAGAGCAGATAGGAGTGATAGGAGAAAGGATGAGGAGAGGGATAGTGGGTAGATCAAGGTAACTGGAGATGTCGGTTGACATTACATTTGAATAGTTGGAGATTATACCTCTCAGGGAAACAGTAATTGGGTAGGGTGTTCTACAGGCGAGAGGTGCGAGATATGAAGCTATTGGAGTAGAAGAGACGGCTACATTTAAAAGTTTCTACAGTGTTAGGGCGCTTAAATTCATAAAGTCTGGGAACCAGTGAGAGCAGCTCATCGGAGCAATTGCCATGAAAGTATTTGTAGAAAAGACAGAGAGAGGCGACGGCGCGTCTGTGAGAGAGCAACTGTAGACGAGACACCAGATCAGGGCCAATTATATTACATACCGTCTCTGGATCTTGTCAAGTACTCCGAGGTAAACAGAATGTGCCCCAGACCATATATGGCAGCAATACTCCATGCAAAAAAGTACTGCCTCGGGTGAGAAACCAAAAAACAAACAAAAAACACGGCACGTTATGAGGAAAGAGGACACAGAAAATTTGATACTCACAAGACATTGAAGGCAAATGAGACAGAGGAAAGCCGCACATAACTTACCTAAGGAGTTTGTGTAAATGGTTGGCACAACAGGTCTTAGAGGAGATAGTAAAAATCTTTACTAATAGTTACAAAAGATAGGAAGTTTTGGAGAGCCATAATCTCCCACGTCCTGAAGTGACACGGCACACAGATGATTCTCCTTTAGGCGCTTACCAGTATGAGCTTTATAATGCATAACACGTAGTTGGCTCTGAAAACTTACCTTCTCACTGAAGACTTTACAAGTTTCTACAATTTGTATCGTTGCCATATTAGCAATTAAACACTATTTCTTGCCTGGTACCGAGTACAAAAGAGCTTGGCCAGTGAAAAGAATTACCAGCGGCGATCTTGCAAATGACATGATGAGGTTGTCGAAATGGTCATCATTTTTTTTTTATTTGGAAGTTCACCGCTTGCGCGAAAGAAAGAAATAATGCCACAATTTGGCCAAATTCTTATGTCAGTCAAAGAGATAACGTTTATGTACAGTACAAACAGCACCCAGACACCCGTTGCCAAAGGCAATAAACGGTTGCACGAACAGATAAATTTCCTTATATAAGCGTTTAAAATTAGGGGAGAAAGATCCAATTATTTTATAACATTAATTCTCTCATAATCTCTCTCTCTCTCTCTCTCTCCATACACACACACACACACACACACACACACACATATATATATATATATATATATATATATATATAAATGAAATAAATCCTAAAGAGCCAGGAACAACCTACCTAGGTTTCACCTAAACGGATCTTCAGGGTGAGCTGGCTAAAGAGGAAATGACATGAAACACAGTATTTATTGATAAAACTGCTAAAATATAATTAGCATAAAGCACTAAAAACTAATTAGTATATTACAAAAACTATCTATATCAGAAAACCTGACTGTATATAAAAAGCAAGTTAACATAAAACAGGAAACTAGAATGCAAACATACCTACCCCCACCCCTACTTGTCATTCATCTTTATCAGCTTTGTATAATGGATATATTTTTCTACGAATTTAATATCATGTTTCCTAAGGTAGTGTTTTACCATTACCAACATTTCCTTAACGTCTCTTCCGTTTCAATCTTTTTAACAATAAGGATAGTTCATTTCGGTATTATGGATTAACTTCTCGCGACAAACTATCAGTAGAAACCCAATAATTGTTTGCAGTAAGTAAGAAACCGTGGAAGATTTGGACCGGAGTGCTTCCCTGACGTCCCAGATGGATTACTAACTGTTTTGCTCTTTAGTTATAGTTGATTTAAGAAGGTGATCCATTCTTTTCCGAAGGGCATGAATGAGAATTGAACACAAACTATCCAAAAATGAGTTTTAACCCATTTTTGTTTGTTTGTCTGCTTGTTTTTTTGTTTTGCTTTTTTTTATTTGTTTTATTTTACGGTATATCAACCTCAATGGATTATTTAATGCTGACAAGATTTTTATTGCTTGTAATATTTTTTTTCAAAAATGTATTGACGGTAATTTTTTTCCAAAAATATATTTTCCTGGCAATATTTTTCTTTTTCAAGAATAATTTTACTGGTAATAATTTTTCTAAAAAAGTATTGCTGGTATTAAAACCTATTTTTATACTTTCATAGTGTTTTGGCCCCCTTTAGTGGGTTAACTATTTGCTCATAGCTGGGACCCTGACCAGCAATTAAGAGGTGTTTTCATGCTCCTCAAAACCTCCTGATTAGAGGCCTTGCTGTCGGATTTAATTTATCCTCTTACCCAGGACGCGCATATAGTTTATCGTCTTATCTAGGACGCGCATGTAGTTTATCGTCTTACCCAGGACACGCATGTAGTTTATCGTCTTACCCAGGACGCGCATATAGTTTATCGTCTTACCCAGGACGCGCATGTAGTTTATCATCTTACCCATGGTCGATGATGTAGTTTACCGTCATTCCCAAGACGGTTTTTAACTCTGTTAGTCGATGTCAGTCACGTTGTCGTTAATAGTTAAGGCAACAGTAAATTTTATTCAACGTTTTTTTTTTGTCATTTTTTGTTGACAGGCTAACAATGCTCTGTTAGAAATCTTTTTAGACAAGTGACAAATTAACTAGGAATATTTTCCGAAGACAAAAGAATTAATAATTTCAAATTGAGAAAGATAAAATATGATAATCGAAAGTGCAGTGATTCCAAATTCCGAATAAAATTTCTTTTTTTGTTTTATATTTTCCTTCATTCGGACTAATTTATTTCTTCTTTTTATCAGAACGTTTACATTGATATATATTTGTATAAGAAGAGGACTTGAAATGATGAAAACTATTAGTGCAACTAACTTTTTCTGGTCATATTCAACTTGTACAGGAGGACTTTATAAATGAGGCTGGTTCAAAATTTTCGTGACCAAATGGGCATTTCTTACCTGAATTTTAATTTTTATTTTATACTGCTGAATTAAGTGCATTGACAATTAAAAAATGATAATGACAAATATTTGTGGAAAATAAATGTTTTTTTTAACATTAGCATCCCGGGTTGATTAATTAATGTTTCTATGTTCACACAGACACACACATACATACCCACACACAAACACGCACACACACACACACACACATATATATATATATATATATATATATATATATATATATATATATATATATATATAAAATAACGCGTATTGGTGCTATGCTGACAAGGAATCATACCATTTTATCAACATGTATTTATGCTTTATCTCCAATATTGAACTCTCTTTCCCTCATGAATGTAGTCTATATCAAGTGTTTTGAGGATGTAATG